CAACCAGACTGACTGTCCTCCCAGCGGTTGTTCAGGCGAGAGCCTTCCGATCTGTCGTTGACACCTGCCAACGGCAATCTGTTGCGGACTATATAGCTTTACAGTTACTGCTATCACCCTTCGGAAGAGCTGGAGCATCTACTCTCCTCAGCCTTGGAAATGCAATTGCAGCAGAGCAGCTGTCGTCATGCGGCAGCATGGCCCCACACAGTCGCGTGGTCTCCTCTGAACACGATCTCTTGAAACATGTGCTTCTCGCAATGTGCCAGTTCTTGCATGCTAGGCAGAGGCTACGTGAGGATACCTCATTCTCTGCCCACATTGCTCAGCCGTGTCGCTGTGGCGTCCTCAATTGCATTCCGAATCCTGCACCATCTCCAAATTCAAGTCACTGTCCCAGCATTCCTCCTCGTAGTTATGAGGGTGTAGCTGGTGAGCGTGCCACACACAGTCAATGTCGTAAGTGGGAACCCAGAAATCCTGCGTACCGGACCAGCGGCAATAAGATGCTCGAGACTTACATGTAATTATCACATCTTTATGGCAGAACAGTACGAGACAGTGATCAACATCTGTGTCCACGACTCACGACCTGCTGAGAATTACTCGATGCGACACACTGCGACAACTCTGCAAAGCTAAAGCGGTCTTGGGATTTCATGGGGGCTTGCTTCTGTGGGCTATCCAGGCCGAGATTTATGGCGGAAGTTCAGAATCTGAGCCACGTCTCACCATGGAACCCCAAGCATATGACATACGACATCATGCCAGGAGGCCTTTGGCCGCCGGCGCTTCAGCTCCAGGAACCTGTCCAAATATCCTGAGGAGCTTCACATGTAAAACCCAGCCCTATTCTGCAGATCGGCTGAACATGACTCAGGCATATAGGTGTAGACAACCAGCATGTCTTTTTTGAGCCGGGCATGTTTAGTTCTAGCACGAAAAATGTCAACAGCAGCTGTCAATCAAGTTGATCAAAGACAGTGCTTCAAATGCATGCAGGAGGTTCTCTCGACAGCCAGCTCCAAGAAGTACTGGTCACGATAGTGAGGCATCACCGCCACCTCACAGGTCGATATAGGGCTTAGGCCTTAGGGCTTGTTTTTGGGGTGTATGGCCCTGAAGGTGTTTGGCCTTCTGTGCCATCTGTTTTCACATGTTGGCGCGGGCGGGAACGAAAGGTCGAAGGGGACTGCGAAACTGGGGTTCTGCAGCCCTCGTCAGTAATGTGTAGTTCCCATTCTGGCTGTGGCAACAGGTCACGCAAGATGAGTGCCATGATACTTATAGACCTATAGCGACTACAGTGGTGCACTGACTGCTAAGGTAAGGAACAACGAGATCCGTACGGCGGCACTGAGGTGAAACAGCCTACCTGATTCGCCGCAGTGTCTGGGGAATCTTTCCTGTGTTGGATCTTTTGCTGAGTCTGTCGAGCGAAACTCAACTCGACAGAAGTCATGCAGGAAACTTCCACTGGCAGGAGTAGTCCGGTTGGCTGCAGGAAGCTAGGTACAGTACCTCGGCACCGGAGGAGTCACAAAGCTTTGAACATCAAAGAAGTCTGGTTCAAGGCCGCCTGGTAGTAGAAGGCCATCTGCCTGTCAGTACAAGAACAATGGCAACCCAGCCATGGCTGCAAAGAGGAAGGGTGTCATGAAGCTTTGGATTTGACTGTGTGTCAGCCCCATACCTTACCTGAAACCGAAACCGCGTGTGCAACCCGGTTTAGGCAGCACCTGGGGCAGTGGAACAACATGCGCAGGAAGAAAGACGACGTAGGAGGCAGGAGCCTCTCAGCTGCTGCCACGATGTCGTACTTGCTCTTGAAACTGGCCTGGGCAAAAATGAACTGGCAATGCTGCGTTGCGCAACATTGAGGTTTAGCATCACGCAGTGGCACAAGGTCCGCCGCCACTTACAACAAAGCAGCAACTCAGACAACGAGAGCACACAACAAAGTGTTCAAGGATGAAGTCATGGCATTACACTGTACCCAGCCTACCTGCCGACAAGAAGTCGCACCGGTGGGAAAAGCGGGGGGGGGGGGGGGGGAACATCAGGCGTAGGGTAGAACTGCATGAGCAACGGCATTTGTAGTTACCGTCTAGGACCTCACTAGGAAAGCAGATGAATTCGATGAAGTATGAACACTGTAAGACTGAGGCTGCTAAGCTGATGCAATCGCTGCAACCTCGAGACACAGATCGCGCAAAAGCTCGCATATCACCAAGATGCGTTGCCCTCGTAGCTAGCCTGAAGCGGCGCATTTTGCAGCGTCGTCCTGATATCGTAGTTCCCGCCTCCAGCCTGCAGATTGCTTCGTCACCAGAGATTCTCTCCTCTTGCCGATTACTGAAAGACATGGGCCCGAGGGATCTGCGGTCGTTCAAAAGCTCAATCGTGCAACGCTTTGGGAAATCTTCCCAGCACAAATCCCCAAGGACCCAGGCTCACTCGTTACCCAACGGTTTCGGCCTTCTCCCACAGCTGGCTCGTGAGGGACTGCGCGGATGTGAACTCCTGCAGCTTTGCCACTCGAGCTAGGGGTGGGGCTTTCCTTCAGTTGCTTTTCCTGAAAAGATCCTCTCGCACCTCGCATCTAACTTCCGCCTTGGCAGGCGGAGGGACCGTGTCGTAACTGCGACGCGGAAAAAATTCGAAGAGAAGGATTATGGACCCGTGGTCGTATGAGGTCAAAATCCGGCTACCTGCAGGGGTCTGCGTGGATGTCTGGGCGGAGGTATTGTTGAAAGGCTAGGAGACGATTTGGTGATGCTTCTGCAAGGCCTTCTTGCTTCTCCTGGCAATGCAAGCCTTACAGTGGCCCAGGATTCCCTTACTCTGAGAATGAAAAAAGCTGGCTCCTTGCCCGTTCGTGGCATCAAAGCATGGTCGGGCGGCTCCTGATCGACAGGATGCTAGCTAGTGTTCGGCATACACGCCCCGCCCGGCATTGGATGCCCTATGACTAGCGAGCAACTGTAAGAAGGATCAAGTTTACATCGTGGCTCCGCACGCTGTTCCCCACCCTATAGGCATACTCGGGTGAACGGCGGTCCATCCTGGAAAAAACATGCACAAAAGAAGCCAACAGTACACGGGCCTTGCGCGGCCACCGGCCGGCAAGCTTGAAGCAGTGAAGACATATGTGTTGCACTGCAACTTACAGGACGTTGCAGCCTGACACAGCCAATGTGTTTCAAGACTGATTTTGACAACTACTTTGGGGCATTACAACGTTGACATGTAACAGGCAGAACTTAAAGCCTCTCCGGAGCTATTCTTTTCGATGCGGCAGCTCGTCCCCTACGCGCTTATGCCGCTTCGATCCGCTTCGTCACAAGCTTCCTTGTCGCTGGGCCTGCTGTGACCCAAGACGACAATCAGCAGTCGGCGACAAAACAACGTAACGTCCCCACCCCCCTTCAATCCGCGGAACCCCTCCAAACGTCCTGAGCAGATACAAGAAAGGCAGGAAACCAGAAACCGCAAAGCCGAGCGCAAGGAAAACCCTGCAAATCCGAAAACTAGTAAACCGAAACCCGGAGAACGTGGTGGCCACGCAAGGTGACAGACAGTCCAATGCTTTCAAGCCGTGGTTCTGAGAGGCCCGTTATGTTCATAGCATCCTCCCGGTAGGCCTTTGGGCATAGCCTCGGTGTTGCAGCTCAAGCTTCCGCTCCCAGAATTGCAAGTGCACAGTGTTTCGTCCGAAGAGCATGTGGCAGTGCCAAACCCACTCCACATCGAGGGGTGGCACGAGTCGTGCTTTTGGATCCTTCTTGGCCAGAAGTGGAAGCCATACATCCTCGTAGCGCTGGACTGCTTGTCGAAGCACCTCAGTGCAGTAAGCCTACACCCCATGCTTTGGAACGGACTCTAACTTATTACTCCCATTCTCGTCTGTTCAAGCATGCATATATGCATATGTATGTGTGCATGTAATGCATGCGATGCGCATGTATGTATGCAACTGTATTTGTATGTAACATTGCTGTGACATAAGTGCCTTTGGATCGACGTAGATTTGATGTACCATGCGATACATTTTGCATTTATCATGCGTGAGCTAATCTGTTGTCTACTGATGCTTTTCTATCGTTCCGTCTGGCTGTCTATCTGGTGGGGAACTCTCTCACCCTGGCTTCAGAGATGTGTCGGCCGTGGCACCTGCTGGTTCGCATACAGGCAGGGATACTTGTCCTTAGTTGGCCCAGAAATGTTGTGCGAGATGCTGGATGTTGGCCAGCTGGTGGCTGTGCCGTGCTTAAGGCTGTTTGTTCGACAGGGAGGGTCGTCATCTTTCAGCACGATTGTCCACGATGCAAACCGATCGGAAACACCTGCACACGCGATCATCGACAGTACTTGGCAAAAAATACTGGCTTGTCAAGTTAGTCAGAGTGTCAACCTCCTGGAGAAAGTCGACCATGTTTCGACAGGCCTTGACGAGATCCACCTTGACCCGTAAGAGCGTCACCGATCGCGCAAGAAGTTGGCATGGAACACAAGTGCAGAAAGCTCAAAGCAGCGAGGTGCTAGTTGGCCTTCTACAGTAGCTCAACTACAAAGTCCCACCTTGGCCTTTGCAAAGGTTGCTTTCGGTACCTGGTGCCGTGCCGGGCGGAGGCAGGCAGCGCACGCGCCCATGGCTTTGATGCAATGCCTTCAGACTGGGCCTCGGCCTCGAAACACGCTTGTCTTCTCATAGAAAGAACAGCCAGGCACCCAAATCTTAAGAGTAGAGGCTAATGTTTTTTCAAGCAAGGCTAGATGACGGGGCGCAAGGGAACGCAGTCTTATATAGCTCTGAGTATGGCGTATGCGACAGAAAGAAGACGGCTGTATCGAATACCAGACGAGTCAGGGTGTTTTTGGTGAAATGGCACAGCATCAACACCACATTGTGGAGACATGAACGGACGATCACTATGCTGAACTCCAGACTTGCACCCAAACTGCACGCGATTTGATTCAGAATGGCCAGAGGTTCAGACCAGCTCCACCACGCGTCGACTGTCACGTTCCAGTACGACCTGCGCACGATCGGATGCCTTGCAACCCTTCGGCAACCGTTGAAGCCGCAAGCCTTCAAAGGCTCCGCGCAGCAGAGGATGGCAGTCCCGAACGTCTGGCTAAACCGAAAGCTTTGCTTTGACGTGCCCACCCTCTCGTCCCGCTCATCCAGGAACAGAACTCCATCAAGACCTTCGAGACCATTTTCGAGAAGATACCTCATCTTGTGAGGCTGCCCTCGCCATGCTTTGCATCAGAACTCTTGACGTCTGCAAGGGGGATTGCTGCAAAAGCGACAGGATCAGGTGGCTGAGCCACTGTAACAGCAGGGACAGGAATCCATGGATCGTCACCTGTTTCACAGTTTTTCACCTGGCGGTGACAACTGAGGTAGCTGCTCTGCAACTTCTCGATTCGTCATGCCAGTGACCTATGGGAGGCGACTATGGTACAATCTCGTAGAAGCAGGAGAGGTTGCGAGATGTTTGTTCCAGGTGGTGCTTACAGACAACATTTCAGCTGCAACTCGTGCATCTGATTGAATCACCTGATGCTAGGACTGCTAGGATATGCTTCGTGGTTTTCACTTTGTTCACTGCCAAACTGATCCCGTGCCCCACCTGAAGCCTCGAACATGAATGTCGGAGATAAACATCCGGTGCCCAGAGGTCACTGGCTTCACCGACATGAGTCTGTCGCATACGGTCCTGTGATGGTGTGAAAGTCATGCAAAACCGTACGGTTCATGAAAATAAGAAGCAAAGACTGCTGCCTCAGACCGCAGCTGTCTTGACACCACATGAACCCCAGTCGGCACGGCAATTCCTTGGGGCCCGACTAGGGCACCTGAGTCGATGAGCGCATGATACTTCGGCCTGCAAGAGCAGGTGTGTACAGCCCAGGGCTGCACGTCGCCAAAATATCGGGAAGCAAGCAGACGATTGCCTGTTACCCCGGCTGCTGCGCGTTTTCGCTACCTGAGCGCGGGACCCTCCACGAAGTGTGCACGACTGGGTCCCCACTTCGGGCGTCTGCACATAGAGTACCAGGAGATCTGTTTCCAGCGAATCTTGCTCAAAAGTCTTGGGGTGAATTGGCCGCACACCAGCTTACTGTAAGCCCGATGCGGGACTGAGGTGGAGTTGAGAGGCTGGCGATGTCCAGGATCTGCACGGGACTCCAGCGTCCGAGCCTCAACAACTGCAATGAAATCACTGTCCGTGTTCTTCCAAGGACAAGTGGCGATCACCTTCGCCACAACATCCCCACGTCTCAGCCCTGACCGATTGGTAGAAAACAGTGACGAGCCCTCTTCGACTATGCTACGGCCGCGCAAGCTAAGCCACGGATAAAAATGCGTTGCAAAGTGCATCCATGGCACTCCACAACGGACACGTGTTGAGTGGAACTGAGGACCTGTTGCTGCAGCTGTGCCGGGTGCAAAGCAATGGATGTCCAGCTTAAAAACATGTCGGAAGAGTCTGCCATGCCTGGAGCACTTTACCGTCGTCACCCTCAGCGTAGATACAGCGTCCCATCGACTTTGGCCTGGATGACAGTAGAGAGGATTCACTTGATGGCACAATGCTGCTTGTGCCCAACAACGGAACCAGTCCCGCGAGGCATAGCTTCCCAGTGCTGATTTACAAGCTCGTGCGGTATTGGCTTTAGAGCTTGCACGAACGCTCGCTTATGAAATTGCCGTGATACTTGAGACAACCCACCGCGAAAAAACAGAAGGAATAATCTGCGGAGACATTGGCATCACGCGGCGTCCAGCCGAGGTGAGCATAGTAAGCGAATGACACGAACATAAGACTCCCATATTCCTGGGGCCCAATCAGCAGGTCATTGGGAGTGCCACTGAAGCCAAGGCATTGCTTGAAAAGTTGCGGCCTGGGCACAGCATGATGGCAGTCGTGAGTCATGTGAGTCATGAGGGGCTTCGGGGCTTCGCAGCTCTGGGATTCCTGCAGAAATCTTGAAGTTCGTTATCGCGTAAAACCAAACCAAGTATCAAATCGAGCATCGAAAAGAGCTGATGATTGTGTTTCGCTTCAATTTCTGCGATCTCACCAACTTCACTTTAACATACTTTAACTGTCCACCCTGGTCCTGCAGGCAGTACAGACACCCCTTGTAGTTGAGGTCTCGGCACCTGCTTCTCCTATGTCCGGCAGAGTCGGCTTGGGACTAGGTCAAGGCCCCTGTCGTAGGACTGAACTTTGGCAGACTTTGGGCTGTCGTGTGCTGTTTGAAGCACTTACGGCGAGTAGCTTTCCCAAATATGCACTGACGCAGACTGAGATGCCAGCCCAGCCAGCTCCTGCACCGCGCCAGGAGGTGCTAGATCCGCTAAATGCACATGTAATCACAAGTTTCCTGAAACCCAAGCCTCGAGTGAGCAGGTCTAACCCTCAAGAAAGCATGCCTTTTGTTCTGATCAGATCATCCCGCAAGTTTCCGAGTAGCCGGGATCGCCGGAACAGGCGATGGTTCTATGCGATCACTAGAAACAAAAAAAGCAACACATTGCAAAGGCAGCTCTGAAGGGTCCTGGCCACAAGCAGTAAGTTGAGTCTCGTTGCGATCCAATGTTCCTGCCTTGGAGTGCTCAGGGCGTGGAAGCTTAACTGCGATTTGACCGCTGTGGGCCCAGTTGGAAGACTTGAAATTTCCTAGGCCTGCCAGAGGCCAACATCAAGAGTAGCTTCCATGGCTTGTTTCTGGGTGGCGCCTTCCTCAATATGCCCCCGAGATGCATGGGGCCTGCGCTCTGTGATTCCTGGCAGCTGACTCTTTGAACACACTCGCAGTTGACTCTGGCCGTCTGGCCGCCGCGAGGCCCGTGCGAGAAAGACATGGTGCTCCAGCCTCGGCGAGGCGACGATTTTTTTCCCGCTTCCGCAACTGAAGAGAAGAGAGGAGTTGACGCCGCTTCCGCCCACAGCCCATGCTCCTGCAGAGAAGTCCAGAACACTTGCTGAGGTCCCCAGCAGGTGACGGATTGCCATGGGGGAGTAGCGCAGCACATCGTAGACAAGCTGAACTTGCCTCAGCTCAGACCAGGGATGGCCCCGGCAGTGCGTCATCGTGACTCATGAGAAAAGCACGACACGCCACGACTAGCCTCTATGAAACTCCCGAACTTGGCCGGCCACTCTGGGTCGTTGATGTCCAGCAGCTCCAAGGGCCACACATTCCGCCTTCTGGGTCACAGTATGGACAGCCGATTGTGACTGCAAGGAAAAGCCACCAAGCCACAAACTCAATCCTCCCTGACATTGTGATAAGCTCAGCCTGCTATCGCAAACCCATACAGTGCATTTTGGGGCCTGTCGACCGCATCCTCGACACCTGTGGACAAGAAGCATGAGGAAACGAAGCAATTGATTAGGATCTCGACGTCTTCATTGGCTAGCTTGGGGTGCTAAGTGCACAGCACTACCTTTGGACTTAGGACTTGGGCTTGAGGTCCGAACTTCCCACGAGACTCCCAAAGTTGAGGCCCAGGAGTGTCCGATGCCGGTGGGCACAAAGTGCTACTGCTACAACTTGCTGCACAAAAACTCCTCGAAGCCTGCCTGGGGTCTTGAGTAAGTTCGGCCGTTTAACTTGATGCCAAGAGTGCCCAAGCAGCTCCTAGCACCTTTCCCTTGGCTGCACCCGCCTGAGTTGGCGACGGGATGTGGCCTTAGCCGGCTCTTGAAGTGGTGTAGGAGCTAGGCTTTGCTTTGGAGTCTGGTGCACTTTGGGATAACACGAGTCTTTGCTCTTGTTCTATGAACAGCACTGTCCAACGACCCCTGCCACCGTGCCAAAGTCCAAATCAGGACCCACTACGTAGTTTCCAAACTGACCAGGCAGCTCTGTCAAAACGTGAACTGCAATTATACAAACTACTGAGGTGCCCTTCTGCTATATATATATATAATATATTAACGAGATGAAGTGCGGCATGAACAAAAAACACGATCTACTTGGCGGCCCTGAACATGCCCGGCACGGGGCCCTCGCGACTTCGCGAGTGAATCTGCCCGACGACGATGATGCTCGTCATCTTTCAAGTCGCCCACCCATCGACCGTCCTACTCAAACCAAGACTTCACAGCGTCTTGCGAATATCGAGCAGGTGAACATGCAACTGACAAGGCTTGCCCTAACCTCGGTGAACCCGCGGACTTTGCCGCCAGCTCGCACAATCATCGTCACATAGGCCTGCAACCAGAATTTGCTACCAATCGTGAGCCCGTGAGTGACAAAGCAAGCGAGTGAGGAAGCGATGCAGGAAGGAAGCAAAGACCATCAGTGCATACATGCAGGCTGACCGTGATTTGACGGTGCCGCCACAGTATGTCTTGCGTCCGTTCATCTGTCCTACATGCCTGGCAGGCGGCTCGGCGATGAAAGTGCACAGCACCTTCCTGACCAAATGTGAATCTGCTGGCGGCTGTTTGAGCTCTGCGTAGACTGAAGAAGGATGCTTTTCAGAATGAGCTGCCACAGGTTTCAATGCGATTTGACTTGGGGTCATAGATGACGACTATCAGGTTCGGATAGGGGCCATCAAGGCTAAAAACATACCTTCAGGTACTGTTGGGTCTACCCCGGGTCGGATATTAGACCCCAAACCCTGGGTCTAATATCCAAACCCTAGGGTCACGCAAACGGTCATTTTAGACCTTCACGCTTTGGCCTATGATCAAGTCTCTGTTGGGGCCGTTGTGGCTCGTCATTGCGTCAGTACGTTTTAGTTCGCGCTTTTGCGTGCCACTGTAGTCCCCTGCCGGCTTGGCTTCTCCCCGGTCCCAAATATCGTCTCTGGTTCTGCTTCTGTCCGTTTCGGTACCGCTGTGGTCTCCGCTCAGCTCTGGAAAGTCTCGGGTTCGTTGTTCTTTTCGGTTCCAAACCGGTTTCGGATCGGATACACCCCGGTTCCTTGTGGCGGTTGGGCTGTGGTTGTGTGGCGCTGGTTTCGGTTCGGATCTTGCTGCGGTCCAATTGAGTTGCACTGAGTGCGGGGGCCCGCTTCCGAGTTCATCCGTCGCCGCCGCCCCTGCATAATGTCGCCTCCCAAATGTCCCACTTCGCCTTTAGGAACCCGGAAGGAACCTGGAAAGCCTAATTACCTAGTTTTCGTTTTGCACAGGGATTCTTTATTCTTATCGATGCGACTCGGGCTGAGTTCGGTTTGGGTTGAGGTGGAACTGTTTTGCTTCCCAGGTCTCGTCTTGGGTTGTCGGCTTGGGGTCGGTGTCTCTCCCCTGTCGGTTCCCGGCAGTTCCGTTCGTTTGGGCTCTGTTCCGGCCGGAATCTTTTTTTTTCGGTTTCACCTAGGTTTCCCTCAGCTCGCATTTTTTTACGAAGCCCTGGCAACCCTCTATGGAGGTAGAAGCACGAATCCAAGAGTGCTCCAGGCTGAGTTCCGAAGTTCCGGGTTTGCGGCTTCTGGGTTCAGGCGTTTAAAGTTTCTGGGTTTCTGCTTTTCTGGGTTTGGGGATGTTTCTGGATTCAAGTGTTTAGCGGTTCGCGGTTGTGTTTAGGTGTTTAGGGTTTCTGTTTTTCGGTATTCTTCCCGAATCGCAGTTTCTGGGTTTATGTGTTCAGGTTTACTGGGTTTCTGCGTTTTTGAGCGCTCGTTTAACGTTTCTGGGTTTCGGCCGTATGCTGTCCAGGGGAACAAACCAGGGCACACGGGTACCACGAGCCCTCGCTTACCCATCCATAAGAAAACTGGCCACAGCAGCACAGCACCGGCTTCCGGTTGTATCCGTCTCGAGGTTCCTATCTTCCTCAGACGTCTATGTTGGTTTGGGATATATAGGGTCTGGAGTGTTTGGGGAGGTTCGGCATGCCGGGGTTCGGGAGTTTAGGGTTTCTGGGTTTGTGCGTTTCTGAACGTTTCTGGGGGGTTCCTGGTCTTTGGACGCTTTTGGGTTCAGGTGTTTGGGTTTCTTGGTTTCTGCGTGGGTGGTGTTTCTGGATTTAAGTGTTCCGGGTTTCCGGGTTCCTGCTTTTCTGGGCGTTTCTGGATTAAGGTGTTTAGTGTTTCTGGGTCACGGGGTTCCTCCCGAAACGCAGTTTCTGGGTTCATGTGCTTAGGTTTATAGGGTTTCTGCGTCTTTGAGCGTTTTTTAACATTTCTAGGTTTAGGGTTTCCAGGTTTAGGTTTATAGGCGCTTCAGGTTTTTGGGTTTCTGCGTTTCTCGGTTTGGTGCTGCTTCTGGGCTAGGGCTTTTGCGTTTTTGCACGATGTTGGGCGTAAGTGTTTTTAACTTCTGGGTTCTGCGTTTCTGTGCGTTTCTCTGGGTTTCGGTGTTTAGGATTTCTGGGTTTCTGGGATTCTGGGTTTCGGTTTTAAATGTGTTTAGGTTTCGGTGCTCACACTCACTCGTGCAATCCAATGTTTAGATTTCGGTGCTCACACTCGGACAATCCAGGCGAGGCATGTCGTTCGGAGTCTAGTGACTAGTGTTCCTGAGTTTCTGCATTTTGGGATGTTTCTGGGTTGTTAAAGGCTTCTCGGTTTTTGCGTTTGTGAATGCAGTTTCGGTCAAGCGATTTTCACGAGCAGGCACCGCGAGACACAAATCTCACATCCATTTCGGGGCTCGTGGACCTGTAATTCAATTTCGCGACCCGCCAAACCGAGAATAGTGCGAAGCGGCGGCCAAAAGCTTAACACCAAGTTTGGTCCAGCGACTGGAACGAGCAGGCACCGTGAAACACAAATCTCACATCCATTTCGGTGCTCGTGGACCTGTAATTCAATTTCGCGACCCGCCAAACCGAGAATAGTGCAAAGCGGTGGCCAGAAGTTTAAAACCAGTTTCTGTCCGACGATTCTCATGTGGGTCTGGCATCCGCGGGGCTGGGAGGGTCTAATATCCTGAACCCCGGATTTCAGACCCTGCACTCTCGGGCCCCCGGGGCCAGGATTCCAGACCCCCAGTGCATGACCCTATCCAAAAACGATAAAAACCTTGCTACACGTCACGTGCTGCTTAGCTGCGGCGCGCATCTCCTCCAGCAGCACCTTGAGAAGGGTTCGAACCTTAGCTCAAAGATACGCGGCACACACTGCCTGCATGCTTGACTCATGCCAGTGATGTCCTCACCACTATGTATTGTAATCCTCGTCCTAAAGCCTTCGATGGGGCCGCAGTATTGGCATCGACGTTCAGGGACATGTATGCATGCCCTGGGACTGCCAAAGGTACAGTAACAAATGCTGGGACGCCGGCATCCCTTTCACGAAGCCCGTTCAATCGGTAAGCCAAAATGGTGAAGCCTGATCTCTTTCCAAGACGGGGGCAGGCCGCGCTAACATGTGCATGAGCTGTGCGCAAACTCGGAAGCAGCGAAAGCGTTCAGGACATGAGGCGCACATTGTTATGGAAGCTACCGCTTTCAAACAAGGAGTCTTGCATCAGAGCGCAAAGTCTCACCCCTCCCGCATTCCGCATGCACCATGGCAACCTGCAGAGAAGCGAGGCTGAGTCCAATGCCGATCGTCACGTCTGGATGGGAGAATTCCGAGGACACACTGGGGGTGTCCTCGTAATGTTCATGCAGCTCAGAGTCCCGTACAACCTCGAGCTTCTCACGTCTCCATACCCATTTTTGAGTGAGAGTGACAGGGTTCCTCCACTGTGCATAGCGACCTCCATGCAACCTCAAGCCTCCAGTTCATGCATAGCGCTCTCCGCCAAACCCAGGTCCTTCCCCACGAAGGGCACTGCCAAAAGCTTTCGGCTCAGTGGAGTGCGCTCATCGCCCCAAGCCATGTCAAGCGCATGGCCAGTCCTTATAGATGAGAGCAAACTAAGCCAACCAAGAAATGACCCACATAACAGAAATGCACGCACAACAAAGCTCAAACCAAAGACTGTACTGGCTTAGCCCCAGTAATGTAGCCGTAAATGAACTCCGCATGCAGCCTACATGGCTGCATGAAGACAATGTGAAAGAACAAACAATACGCTTGCGCAGAAGCTGCGCACGCAGCGTCTGTGACTCCTCTCCTTAAGCTTGCACAGGTATCGATAGGACCTTGCTTGCTTGCTCCTTCCCAGTGGGACGGGGGGGGTGACCCCTGCCTCTTGCTTGCACTTTGCTTTCATTTGGGCTTGGGCCGCGAGCAGTCCCCGCGAGCCACGCGTGTCTGCACTGCCCACTCCATCATATTGAGGGATGGTCTTGGCTGTGCTGAGCAGGTGCCCCCGTTCACAACAAAGGTTAGATTGTGCACCAGTCCCGGGCACGCCTGCTACGACTTGATTTGGTGCAAGGCTTCGAAGGCAAACAATAGCATAGTATAAATGAAACATCACATGGCCGAGGTTACTGGGTGTCCCGAATCTGTACTGGCGAAGTCGTGCTAGCACCCTGCCTTCACCCCGAAAAAGACAAGAAGCGTGACCCCTGCGTGAGCTTTGACCTTCCACTCAATCCTGAACCTGCTGTTCATGGTGGCCCTCCTTTCTCTTGGTGCCACACACAACGACATTGTAGTACTTCACTGTTGGCGAAAGGAGGTGACTTGTGGTCAAGCAGTGTTGTACTGGAGTGGTTGGGTTATCTTGACGAAAGGCCAAGCTAGCATAGGACAAAAGGCCAAATGAAGAACTGCAACACGGCTCGGGTTCTCTCTCTTGCTTGCTTGCTGAGGGGTTTGGGGACGAATCCACTGGCCCGAAGGCCTACCCCATCCACAGTCCGCAGCAGTTCGAGGAGTCGACAAGTGGCCCCTATTCGGAGTTCCCCTCTCTCACTCTCTCTCTGCTTTGCTCCTCTGGGGCATGAGAGGCAGGCAGTTCTCTCTCTCTCTCTCTCTCCCTCTATCTCTCGCTCTCTCTCTCTCTCTCTCTCTGTCTCTCTCTCTCTCTCCCTCTATCTCTATCTCTCGCTCTCTCTCTCTCTCTGTTTCTCTCTCTGTTTCTCTCTCTCTCTCTCTCTGCTTTGCTCCTCTGGGGCATGAGAGGCAGGCAGTTCTCTCTCTCTCACTCTCCCTCTATCTCTCGCTCTCTCTCTCTCTCTCTCTCTCTCCCTCTATCTCTATCTCTCGCTCTCTCTCTCTCTCTCTCTTTCTCTCTCTGTTTCTCTCTCTCTCTCTCTGCTTTGCTCCTCTGGGCATGAGAGGCAGGCAAGTTCTCTCTCTCTCTCTCTCTCTCTCTCTCTCTCTCTCTCTCTCTCTCTCTCTCTCTCTCTCTCCCTCTATCTCTATCTCTCGCTCTCTCTCTCTCTCTCTCTCTGTTTCTCTCTCTGTTTCTAATGCTGGCATGCTGTGAGAGTTGCGGCATGGATTTTCTGAGAGGATTTTCTTTAACAGTGCCGGGTGGTGGAGATATGAGCTTCAAACTTCGGTTATGTGCTGCATCACAGCTCAACGTTGACACAACGACGAATGGCTTGCAAGTGCACCATGCCTCTTGCTGAATGCGAATATCGCCTCATGGATGGGCTCTGCGCAAATCACACCAGCAGGAGCCTTTTCAGTGTCAGAGCTGAGTGCGCAGCGATTCCTGTCTTTACACACGTGATGCTCAACCCCTGAGCATCGTTTCGTATTCCCCCTAAAGCCCCCATGTGCTCGAGCAACATCTCTTACCCAGAGTTTGCGACAAGACTACAACACTCCAACCATAACTCCGAAAAGCAACCCGAAACCTTAGCGAAAACCCTCTATGACTAAAGTGCAAGGCTCGAACCGTAAAACAAAGCTGACTCCAGTACCCTGAGATGGAAGGCTCAAGCGAAAAGTGACATCGCGGCTTCCTTGGCATCTGCTTGTGCAGAATGAGGAGCCTTTTTGGCAGCTCCCTGTTTCGGTGCTGCAGACTTCTTGGTGACACCCTGGCGCTTACCTTTAGCCGCCTTCAAGATCTGTTCAATCTTGGAGTGAGCTTGCTGACGCTGGTCGTCGGCGAGAAAATGGCCCCATGTGACAAACGCCTCCATCTGCTTCAAGTCGAGGTTTTCAACGGCCTCGGACTCCACAGCCTTCCACTTGAGCAACAGCGCGGCCTTGCCCACAGTCACTTCAGCGTTGTCCGGGACCACGAGAAGCCCCTCGTCGTCGTACTTGGTCTCGTGGCCTGCGACGTGGACGATGAAGCAGCTGTAAGAGTTGGAGACCTGCTTGAGGAAGTCTGACGCATTCTGGTCGATGGACACTGGCATGCCCTGCACGATCCGATCGAGCATCGAATGGGCAGCAACAATGATGCCCTGCGAACCCTGCGAAACGTAGCGGTAGAGGTCGGACTCCATGAGCTTCGTGCTGCACTGGATTGCCCGCTGGAGAGACATGAGTTTTGTCTGCGAAGGCACACACGTATCCATGTAGATGTCCTGCAGCCTCTTCCGCCCGCCTTCCCCGGCCAGATTGGCGAGAAAAGCAAGATCGATCCAAACATGCTTGTCAAGGGACAGCAAGCGCGCCCGCGATGCTTCCAACACCTCCTGGCGCAAAAACAACCCAGCAGTTGCTCGGTTCAGGGGCTACTATAAAAGCAAAGGACGAAAAGCTAGGGCCATGGACATCGGGAGAAAACTTCTGAGTTTCATAGGGCTCTAGGCTTAAGTTTATTTCGAATCCTTCGGGAGGGCCTTAGGGGACATTGTAAGTTGTTTTTACGTCAGCATCTACCACTACAACTGTTGTAAGGTTGTATGCTGCACTACTTTACGTTAGACTCATGTGAGACACCGATTGACCTAGACGCATCTCGCGGAAGGGGAGCCGGGCCTGGACGGACTCACCATTCTTGCAATCCTCGGCCTTGATCAAAGCCAGCGCCATGCTCCGCGATTCTTTGGCATGTTTGAACAGCTTTGCCTCGACCTTTGTGCCCTTCGCCACACGCGTGATCCCAGTGCACAGCTGGTCCTCAGCCGGCAAGCTTGGGATGTTGCCTGCCACTGCGGCAGCCCCCCGCAAGGCCGCCTGAAGTGCAAAGTCGAAGTGCTCCGCGGCGCAGGTCGTCTTAGCAGTGATGGCGCAGCCTCGGTAGGAGATGTTGACAGTCCTCCGCCCGCTCAAGACGTCGGCCTCTGCCAAACTCTCCACCTGGATCATCGCTGTGTTGCGAACTTCAGCGACAACCTCCGCCGTGATGGGGTTTCTGGTCAATGCCTTGTCCACCTGCTCTGCCACAAGCTTGTCCAAGCGAAGGCCAACCACTTGCCTAGCTGCGAAGCCGAAGAGCTGCTTCCCAAGCGCAGAACTTGTCGTGATCTCTGCGAGCTCTTCAGCGACATCCAACCATGATCCGTCAGGGCCCAGATCAAGAACCTTCTGAGTCGCGGCCTTGGGCAGCACAAGCGGCCACATCTCATCATGGTTGGAGAGCCAATCAACAGGTCCCAAGCCAGCTTTGGCATAGGACAGGAACGCCTTGCAAGCTACGGTGTCATGGCCAGAAACAGTTTTAAAATAGGTTGAGTGTTTAGCCGTGACTTTACAAGTTTGAGAGGCCGATTGCAGAAACTACGTTACAACTTGCGAGGTCGTAGACGGAAACGAATGTAAAACCGAAGAAGCGCACGGGATGCATAATGTTCGGGTTTATGGAATTCTTATTGGGTTTATCGGGCTTAGGGTACAAGCTTTCAAGTTACAAGGAGTGCAACTGAAACTTGAAGGCTTTGTGCACGTCCGAAGATTTTACAGAAGTTGCCGCAAGGCAAGGTCTACTTCAGGACAGCTACGGGATTTTAGGGGTGCATACGCGGTGCAGCAAGCTTACAGACTATATATGGCTATGGAAGGCTACAGGGTATCCATTTTAGGCCAGGGACTTGCAAGAGAATCTCGTCAAACTTGTCCAGCATCAAGGCAGTCTCTTTGCCCGCTGACGCCTGGAGTTTGAGGCGTGCAGCGCAAGCCACAACGCACTTGCACGCCTCCAGCTGATCAGCAGAGCCGGCCGGATGCAAAGTCAAAGTCCACCTATAGATTCCGCAGATCTCCGCCTGATTCAAGCTCAAAGCTCGCTCCAGAAACTGCACCATGTGCGATCGGCATGGTGGGTGGCCCATCGCAGCAGTCGCTGCCCGCACCAAGGCTGGCTGCACCTCCAAAGCCGGATCCGGCTGAAGCTTCTGCTGCACACTCTGCTTGTCTGCGTACATGGCGCGAAGCCTAGTGTAGTAGTGCTTGCCAAACTGGATGCTGCCTGCCGCAGCGCTGGCCTGGGCTTTGTCGCGCTTGAGGCGCTGGCGACAGGTCAGACCCTCCACTAAGATTCCATCCAACTCTGTAGGAGTCATGGATCGAAGGTTGTCAGTGATGGCCTTCCGAACTTGACTGTCGACGTTCTGCGCCCTCTTGGGACGCGGCAGCTTCACACCCTCGGTCTCAGCCTGCCACGCAGCCGCAAGCTTGGAAGCTGCCCGCGGAGGAGTGCGCTCACGGGACTGGGACGACATGGCAAGTAGCTACCAAGACTGGGTTTTCCAACAGTTCACGTGCTACAAAAACCACGGATGCAACCTGTCTCACTGACACCAGGGCTGCGGAAGAGACGTATAGGGCACTCAACACATCCACGCAGATGCACTGAAGAAGCAGCATGTCGCAATCAATGTGTCGCTGGACGCTGTTGCAGAGGCCCTTCTCTGCAGCACGACCACTGCAACCGTTCAAACTTGCATGCGGTCCCTACAATGCAGTTAGAGGACGGAAACATCTTGCCTGGCGCAGCCCAGAACTCAGACTGGGTCCTACTTTGGGGAGTGGCAGGGCTGCAAAGCGCTCCTACTGACTCCAGGCCACAAAGTCGCG